TTGCCGACCACGGAGCTAGAGAAACAAGAATTGATAATAATCCTAATAAATATTCTCAAGGGACTATAGGAGGGCATTAGAAACAATGAACAGATACAAGAAGTTATAAAAAGGATCTAGTCAGATATAGTAGAAATTTAAAAATTCCTGGGTTGACTGAATACAGTTGATGAATGAGTTAATGAGACGGAGTGGGTTTTGAAACATTCCCAAAGGCATCAAGAAGAAACAAAGAACTGGGGAAAAAATTAAAAGTTATAAAAAATGGAATATGTTTCAACATTTGATTAATAGGGGCCCTGAAAGAAAAAAATAAGCAGAAGTTAAATATTTGAAGTACTGCTAATTGAAATTTCCTCACAATTAGAAAAAGATTGAATGAACTTATTGTTCACCAAACAAGAGAATTGAAAGGGAAAATATCAATTCCTTGACACCTTCAGGTAGAATTTAAAAACAAACAAATCCAGGGAGACAGAGTAGGTCATCTATAAAGGAACAAGAATTAGATTCACATTTACCTTCTTAATAGCAACACTATGGTAATATTTCCAAAGTATTTTTAAAATATGTTTTTATTGATTTTAGAGAAGAAGGAAGAGGGAGAGAGAGATAGAAACATCGATGAGAGGAAAACATTGATTGGCCACCTCCTGCATGCCCCCCTACTGGGGATTGAGCCCACAACTTGGGCATGTGCCCTGACTGGAAATCAAACCTGTGACTTCTTGGTGCATAGGGTGATGTTCAATCCACTGACCCACATTAGCCAGGCCAAAGTATTTTTTTAAAAAGAAATTTGAATCTAAAGTTTTATATTTAACTGAACTCTCATTGAAATGAGAGTGAAAGAAGGATGTTTTCTGGCATAAAAGGCCTCAGAAGGCATATTATACACACACAATTTGTAAACACTCTTGAAGAAAGTATTCCATCAGAATGATAAGAATTACTGGAGAGTAAGCAACTCAGTAAGATCTGTTGTCTAAATAAGCAATGTCCCAAGGGGAAAATAAGTGTAATGATCAAGTATCAAATTCTAGAATATAACAAACTGAGGGAATGATGGAGGGTGGGGAACCAGAAGTAAAAGCATGCTAAGTGTTTGGTGTCTTTCTCAAAGGAGATATAGCCATTGATGAAATATAGAAATTGATGGAGAAAAACAAATCTAAGCATGGATCCTAATAAGTTAGGAATAACCGTAAGAAGAAAAATAGAACACAAATTTCACAGCAAACATAAGTAACTTAGAACCATTCAACAGAAAATAGAGAAAAAATAAGACATTCAAAAATAAAGAACAGAAGTTAAGATGGCAGAAATAAATGTTAATGATTAATCCTATATAATAAAGAGGTAATATGCAAATTAATCCTCACATCATCACAAGATGGCTGTGCCCACAGTGGAGGCAGGGTTCCCATAATGAGCCATAACGAGCGATCAGTAGGGACCTGAGGCTGTGTGGCACTGGGCCGGGGCAGGGGACCTGAGGATGCACCCCCTGCCTGGCAGGGCTTGAGGGGGACCTCAAGGTGTGCCCCTGATCTGGGGGACCTCAGGCCATGCCTCTGCCCCAGTGCCAGGAAGAGGGACGTCAGGCCACTCCCCACCACCTGGCAGGTCTTGATGAGGGACCTGAGGCTACGCCCCTGCCCGGCAGGGCTTAACGGGGGACCTCAAGGTGCACCCCCCCACCCAGACCGGCATCGGGGGACCTCAGGCCATGCCCCCCACCCCAGTGCTAGGCCAGGGGACCTCAGGCTGTGACCCCTGCCCCGGCGCAGGGCCAGAGGACCTCAGGCCCCACCCCCACCCAGTGGGGCTTGACGGGGGACCTCAGGCTGTGCCCCCCAACCCTGGCCCGGGGACCTGAGGCTGCGTCCCCTGCCCAGTGTGTGCCAGGGGACCTGAAGCTGTGCCCCACCCCCTCCTGCCCGGCAGGGCTTGACAGGGAATCTGAGTCTGCGCCCCCCACCCGGTGGGGCTTGACAGGGGCCCTGAAGCTGTGCCCCCCCCTTGGCAGGGCTTGATGGGGGACCTGAGGGTGCAGCCCCTGCCCAGCAGGGCTTGATGGGGATAGGGCCGGCCAGGTCTGGATCTAGCCCAATGGGGGTGGGGCTGGCTGGGTCTGGGTCTCGTGCAATCTCGAGGTGTGTGTAGCTGGGCGCGGACTTGACTCTGGGCCCCACAGCGTGCCCCCAACTCTGACAGGAAGAAGATTTTCATATACATTTTACTAATTTTCTTCCATCTCTGACACTTCTATTATAGAAAAAGTGCAAATAGCAATATTAAAATATTTCCTCTCATTAATTATCTTTTAATGTGCACAAATTTCATGCACCGGGCCACTAGTTAACATATAAGTTATTATGAAAAATGCTAACAGATAAAAATTGCCAATAAAATGACTGACATTTTTATATAGAAAAATAAAGAAGACCCAGCAATATTATGTCTACAGAAAAGTAGTACAAGTAAATATATCAAATGTCTACTTTTATTTTTATTCAAGTATTGTTAACATATGGTATTACATTAATTTAAGGTGTATAACATAGTGACTCAACATTTACATACCTTATAAAGTAGCCATCTCTCACTGTACAAAATTGTTATGTTATTGACTATATTCCCTATGCTGTGCACTACATCCCCATGATAATCCCCTTCACCTTTTTCGTCCATTCCCATTTCTTGGCAACCATCAGTTTGTTTTCTTCTCTGTATCTGTGAGTCTGATTTTTTTTTAGATTCTACATAAAAATGAAATCATATGGTATTTATCTTTCTCTGTCTGACTTATTTCACTTAGCATAATACTTTCTGGATACTAGTATATTATTGTTACAAATGGCAAGATCTCATTTTTTATGAGCCAGTAAGTAATATTCCACTGTATATATGTATATACCCATCTTCTTTATCCAGTCATCTATCAGTAGACACCTAGGTTGCTTCCATATCTTGGCTATTGCATGTAAGTAATAACCATTGGGATGCATACATCTTTTTGAATTAGTGTCTCCATTTTCTTTGGATAGATACTCAGAAGTGGAATTGTTAGGTCGTATGGTAGCTCTATTTTTAATTTTTTGAAGACTCTCCATACTCTTTTCCATAGTGGCTGCATCAATCTGCATTCTCACCAACAGGGCATGAGGGTTCCCCTTTCTCCACATCCTTATCAGTACTTGGTATTTGCTTGTTTATTGATGGT